CTTTCTTGTAACTTATTGCCTATTTGGAATTCAAAGGAGATGATTACTTGGCTCATTCTTTTTATTTATGTTTATTCAGCTCAGAATTTGTTTTCCACTCTAAAATATTCACCACCCTGGTTTTCTTAAGAGCAGAATGGCCGTATTCACATGATTTGAAATGTGAACATCTGGTCTAAGTCAAGTTGAATTTTTATAATGGTGGTTTGGTTTTGAGACCTTAGTTCCACAGATAGATGAACATAGAAAAAGTTATTTAAGGCAAGATGCAAATACAGATAAGATGTGTTTATAAGGTAATATCTTTGGGGCAAAATATATTATATTTGTGTATGCAGATGAGAAAATTTGGACTAAGAAAGGCATTCTTTTTAAAAACTTTTCGCTAGGAATGCATATAAATCTGAATATTTTTCCATAGGTAATGAGAAAAAAACTCAGGTGTGCTGATTTTTGTATTTTTATACACCTCAACACTACTCTCTGATTCCTACTGGTTTCATCCCACTAGAATTATTTTACTTTAAAATTCATGTCAGTGCCACAGGACTGATTATAAGATGATGTCCGGGGCATGACTTCCCAGCTGTCCTCTTTCCCTATCATGCAACACAGCTTCCAAGTCAACCATCCTTGGGTCACCTGAGGGTACTCTAACTCCCCATTCACCAGTACATAAAACTCCAGTAAAACTCCCTTGTCTCTCTCTCATGTTCCAATGTATAATTTCCTATGAAAATCAGAGATCCTTGTGGGCAGCTATGGAAACATTAATAAGCAACAGTGTGGGTGTTCATTTTGCTGTCTGCATGTGTTCCTTTTGTGTTCTGCATGAAGCAGTCGAAGTTGTGATCAGCATAGTGCTAAGTGTTATGGGTTGCACAAGAAATGCAAGATAAATTTTTTCACCAAGGTACTTTCCTGGTATATAAGATACATGGTTCATATTTAAATACATAAGCACCAATTATCAAGATAAACAAATAACCTCAGTGTCTGATTAAGTATTCGTGGTGAGATTCAGCTAATGAATGTCTCACTGAATAAGAGCAGGAAGCAATCAGCCTTGCTGAAAGGTTGAAGAACCTGTCTTAGGACAAAGTGTGAGTTGGGCCTTTACACAGCAAAGATGGGAAAGGGAAAAACGTCAAAAAAGTAGAAACAGTGGAAACAAATTATGTAGGAAAGGTTAAGCACAACACATCCGTGAGAGTAAGGAAATAAGAAAGCAAAGCAATTTTAAGAAGGGTTATGTACATATTTGTAAAATGTATGGATTGGTTTAAAACAGCTTATATTGTATGTTGGCATACAAAAATAAAAGTATTGAATGCCGTGTAACTGCCCACGCACACAGAATGCAGATACTAGAGTTGCAAACTTGAATGTCTGGTGTTCCAATGAACAAAAATGAATTGCTTTAGAATAAAGAGGTTAATTTCCAAGTTTATAACTTAAAAATCATTTTGGCTACCTATAAAGTGTGTTACAGGAGCCCTGGAGGCATATGGGCATGAGTTGGGCTGCTCACCATATGGTCAGCAGTTCACAACCACCAGCCACTCTCCAGAGAAAGAGAGCTCTCTCCGCCCATGGAGAGTTGCAGTCTTAGGAACTCACAGGGCAATTCCACCTGCTCCCATGGTCGCTAGGAGTCAGCAATGACTGCATGGCAGGGAGTTGGGTTTGGGTTTTTTAACAGATGTCATGAATATATTATGAATCTATCATGTCATGAATATATGTTGAAACTGGCATAGTCTTTGAAGTTTAGCTGTTTTCCTGAGCAGTATTTTTAACACATATTTTGGTGAAGATAGACTGTCCATAATAGTTCAAGCAAACATTAATTATTTACGAGAATATGTAAATGTCACCATATTTAATTATTTCCTTGCCCCTTTTTTTAACTAAAGTGGAAAATTTTAATCTACAAAATTTAAAAAGCTCAAGTTCAAAATTGAGTCCCCAAAACCCAATGCCATCAAGTCACTTCAGACTCACAGTAACCATAATATAGGGTTTCTGAAAATCTAGATCTTTATAGGAGCAGATAACCTCATCTTTCTTCCCTGGAATAGCTGGAATATTTATGGAGTAGTTCTTCTCTAAGGGCTTTCTAGCATGTAATTTTTATAGGGCCCACTACTCTGTCAGTTTGTCATACTGTACTGGCTTGTGTGTTGTTATGATGTTGCAAGTTATGCCACCAATATTTCAAATGCTAGCAGGGTCACCTCTAGTGAACCTGTTTCAGCAGAGCTTCCAGGATAAGGACAGACTATGTGAAGAAGGAATAGGCTGTCCACTTCAACAGGATTAGCCGATGAAAAATCTAAGGTTAGCTGCAGACGTCTGATAGAGGACGCAAAGATAAGCCACTCGGGTTGGAAAGCACTTAAAATACTACTTTGGAAGAGCTGCCTCCTCAAATTAGGGTTGACATTTAATGCCATGGATGGAGCAAAGCTTTCAGAACATTCATTTGCTGAGGGGACATGACTCAAAAAAGGGAGAATAAGCAGATTTTAAAACCTATTACATGCCCATGGTGATCAAAACAACTTGGTATTTGTGCAGTGATAGACATGAAGCCCAATGGATTAGAATTGAGAACCCAGAAAAACGACCAAGTACTTAATGACACTTGATCTTTGATAAAAGAGTAAATTTACAATAACTGGGGAAGACTTAGCCTTTTCAGTAAATGGTGCTGCAAAAATTGGATCTATACCTGAAAAATAATGAAGCGGGACCTATACCTCACACCATGTGTAAAAACGAATTCAAAATGGATTAAAGACTTAAACATAGCCCTAAAGACCAGCAATGAAAAACAAGGCATAAATCCACTATCAAACATATTAAGAAATACATTATAAAAGGTAAAATGGAGAACTGGGACCTTCGAAAGATACGACATATGAGCATATCAAAAGAGTAAAAAAGAGAATGAACTGGGGGAAATATTTAGCGACTTTATATCAGATGTGCTAATTTCAAAAATGTATAATAAACTGAAAAAACTTAAGAAAAATACAAATGACCCAATCAAAATTAGGGATAAGACCTGATAGATGATATGCTGAAGATGACATCCAGACAGCCAACGATCATATGAAGAAATGCTTGGGTGCCTTAGCCATGAGAGAAATGCAAATTAAAACAACAGTGAGATACCACCTCCCCCTGACACTCCTAGCAAAATTTAAATAATAATAAATGCTCTTTGGAATGTGCATACATTGCTAGTGAGATTGTAGAATTGTAGAATCACTATGTAAATCACTACAGTACTTCCTTAAGCAAATGCAAATACAGATCCCTTATGATCCTGCAATCCTTACTTGATATATACCTTAAAGAAATAAATTACAAATCATGAAAAGACATGTGCACATTTATGTTTATTGCAGCAATTCCCATAAGAGCAAAAGGCTGGAAACAATCAAAAACCCTAATTATAGAGGGATGGGTAAACAAACTATTGTGCATTCATGAAATGGACTATTATGCATCCTTAAACAATAACTCATCTGGTAAACACCTTAAGACATGGACAAAATATGAGAACATTATGCTCAATAAAGTTAGTCAATGTCATAAAGATAAATAATTTATGGCACCATTATCATAAAGAAAAACAAGAAATTGTTTTCGTACTAAAGGACAAGAGCAAAGACTTTAACAAAGCCTGGATCCATGAGAGGAAATGGAGGAGGAGGAAGAGGAAATTAAGGAGGGAGGGAGTTGGGAAAGGGGCGGGGAGAGGACAACAAAGAACGAAAAAGAACCCCATAGATGGGAGGAGTGTTTTAATGAAATACTGTCACTGATTTGATTGGATAAGCTGTGCGACTGCACAGAATATCGTTTTATTTGTGTATGTCTCACAAAGGGGAAATACTGAAAAAACTCCATATATATATATGTATACGCATATACATATGAAGAAATATTTTTTGTAAGAGAGAGAGAAGGGAGTGCTCTTCCCTAGTTGGGGCTGTTCATGGCGGTTCCGGGATCTCCAACAATTTTCCCCGCTTGTGGTACCGAGACCATCGCCGCGGAGGCAGCAGAGCCTGAGGTCTTTGCTGGTGTGAAATGACTGAGTACAAACTGGTGGTGGTTGGAGCAGGTGGTGTTGGGAAAAGTGCTCTGACAATCCAGCTAATCCAGACCCACTTTGTAGACGAGTATGACCCCACGATAGAGGATTCATACTGAAAGCAGGTGGTTATAGATGGTGAAACCTGTCTGTTGGACATATTGGACACAGAGGGACAAGAGGAGTACAGTGCCATGAGGGACCAGTACATGAGGACAGGCGAAGGCTTTCTCTGTGTGTTTGCCCTCAACAATAACAAATCATTGCAGATATTAACCTCTACAGGGAGCAGATTAAACGAGTAAAAGACTCAGATGATATACCTATGATGCTGGTAGGAAACAAGTGTGATTTACCAACGAGGACAGTTGACACAAAACAAGCGCATGAACTGGCCAAAAGCTATGGGATTCCGTTCATTGAAACCTCAGCCAAGACCTGGCAGGGGGTTGAAGGTGCCTTTTACACACTGGTACGAGAAACTCGTCAGTACTGAATGAAAAACGCAATAGCAGTGATGATGGGACTCAAGGTTGTATGGGGTTGCCATGTGTGCTGGTGTAACAAGATTCTTAGTAAGTTCTATCAGAAAAGAGCCACTCTCAAGCTGCACTGACACCTGGTCCTGACTTCCTTGGAGGAGGGTCCCTATTGCTGTCCTCAGTCTCACCAAGAAGCACCTGTATTTCCCACCTCTTCGTATATCAGTAAAATCAGTCTCACCAAGAAGCACCTGTATTTCCCACCTCTTCGTATATCAGTAAAATCAGTCTCACCAAGAAGCACCTGTATTTCCCACCGCTTAGTATATCAGTGAAATGTCCTCAGAGTGTAACCACCTCCTCACGAGGCTGTCTGCCCAGAGAAATGCCCAGTATTGCCCCTCCCGGGGCTTTCCCCCCTCGCACACATACACCTCTGCCAGCCCAGGTTTGTCATCGGAACAGCAATTCCTGCTCCGAAACAGAAGCGGACTGTAGAACAGACACGCAGTTCTGTTGAAAACTGTCTCGAGCTCTAAAGTAAGCAGCTGCTGGTGGGTTGTTTTTTGGTTTTGTTTTGATGTCTTTCCTTTTGCTGTTGAACTTGGAACTATGTTGGTTTTGGGAGAAATGTCACAAATTACTATTTGCAGAGAATGTAGTTAATGTTGCTATTTAGTTTGTTTGTAATGTCACTGGCTATATTCTGTTCCTGGTATCTGCTCTGTATTCATAAACACAAATATGAATACTGACCTTTGAGTCTATCCTAGTCTGCTTAACTGGACATAATTAAATCAAACTCGGACAGTGAAGTGCCTTTTTCTCAGAAGTGTGTAGACATCCCTGAGAACACTTCAGTGGTGTCGATGTCTGAAAAAACCATTATGTCTGATAATGGATTGTCGGAGATATTCTGACCTTTGAGGAGAAGCTATACCTGTCTAATAGTACATGCCATTTCTTACACATATGAACTTGGTTTTCCAGAGCTATATTTTTGGGTTGTCCCAAGGAGAAAGATGAAACTGGAAATAATGAGTAGTTTCACTGATTTTTCTTACCTCATCTCCACACTATTGACATGGGATTTGTTTCTTGGAGTTTACCCAGAGCCCAATACCCAGTGTCCTTCCATTCGTATTCAAATGTGGGTCATGTCAGAGAGTATTGTAGAAATCTCTGTTTAATAGCTATCATTGATGATCTCCCATCCTCAAAACGAGCCAGTTAGCATCACACAGTGAAGTGCTTTTACATTTGCGCTTTGTGTAACAACAGCCAGTTTTGCCAGGTGCCTGCTGCTGGTGACCCTGCAAGGGGAAAAAGGTCAATTAGCAGCAGTTTTCACCATGACTGGAAACACTTGGTTAGAGCCTGAGGAGGATCCCTTTGGAGAAATCTTGAGAAAAGTATTGCCTTTTTTTTTTAAGCTACTTATAACAAAATTAAACCAATGTTTTCTCGTTAAGCTTTATTTCTTTTAAGGAGGGTGCCTTGAACCCAAAGTAGAACCTCTTTTTTTTGGGGGGGGGGGGCTTGTTTTTCCTTTAAACATAATGTCTTGAAGGATTTAAAAGAGGACTTTTGTTAATTAGTCTCTGTGTACCAGACAGCCAGAACTGGTGTGTTAAAAAGTAGTGTTTGAATGGAAATTGAAAAGAATAGAAAATAGAATTCATCATTCATGACAAGGATTTGGAAGCTTGGCTTTACTATTTGCAGATACTACCCTGGTAATTCTAATGAAAGTAGCTGTGATAGAAGAATCATTGCAGAATGGCGAATTTCAGCTCTTTAATATCGAATGCGTACTGAAGATCACCCTCTGCTAGTGTGCATTTCCCTGACCAGCATTCCCCGCCAGGGAGAGCCCTGTACCATGCCCAGGAAACCTGGAGGTTTGTGCTTCACTGCCAAGCCAGGAGCTTTCCCAGCAGTCACCACCTGGGAAGAGTTCCTCTGCTGCTGGCTGGCTGTCCGTTTGCAACACTGCTCTGTACCTTCTCTGAGCTAAGCGCCTCCCCCTGGACTCATCTTGGGTGTCTGTGTGCCTGACAGTATGACCCTTTCCCTAAAACTTCTATTCACTTTCATGTTTATGAGGGGGGTGGGGGAGGGAAAATAGTTACTCATCTCAGGCAATGTACCTATAGTTTTCTTGAGTACATTCTAAGAACAGACATATTTAGATGGGGCCAACACTGGTCCTGAAAATGTTCCTCACTTCCTAAGAAGTTAAACTTAGGTATGAGTTTTTGTACAATACAGCAGCAAACTCACAGAACAGATTTTTCAAAGAACAACTGAATTACTTCTGTTACGGTGATATCAGCTATAGTTTTTAGGACGTTTGTGAGTACAAGGATCTCTGGTGGCACACTGAGTATGCATTGGGCTATTGACCACATGGTCGGTAGTTCAAAACCACCAGCTGCTCCACAGGAGAATGATGAGGCTTTCTAGTCCCGGAAGTGGTTAAAGTCCTGTAAACCCACAGGGCAGTTCTGTCCTGCCCTGTAGGTTCACTGTGAGTTGGATTTGACTCAGTGACAGTGAGTTTGGGGTTTTTGTTTTGGAATTTGTGAGTGCTGAAAATCTAATTTACCTCAAAATCTGAAATTATTTTTCCTCAAATTAAGTGCCTGCCCAGCTGGCATACATTATATATTCCTTTAGGTTTGCATTTTTTTAATGTTGCAAGTTCAAGAGTAAAAGTAAGATGTGTCTAAAGGGTACCATGCATTATCTGTCAATGAAATCTGTTTAGGGATCAAAACAGCTTACTGTAGAATGTTTCTATAAAAGATACTTAATATACACACTTTATGAGTAATAGTAAGATTAGTCACAATTTTATTTTATTGGGCACCATCCTTTTAAAGTGTGCTGGGAATTATTTTGTTTGGGCTGGAAAACAAGGACAGAGAAACACTTTAGAGGAAAATTTCCCCCATTTTATAATTTGTGAATATAATCATATTTTGCTTCATATTTACTGTTATACATTCCTAAGCTGGCAGCTGTTACCCAGACCTCACCACTCCTTTTCAGCCACAGGCCCCCCCCCCCTCAAAAAAGGTGCATTGTGTCTTCATTTCTGCTAACATTGTAAGAACCAAGGATAATTAGGAGAAATATTTTATTTGGGTGCTTTCTATAAGTATGAGAATATAATTTTCATACATTAGTTTTCATCCTTTCTCTCTCTTAGCAGTCTCACATGCCACAACATTATTTTAAGGTATGTACTCTCTATGAGTAACTTGTTTTAAAGTGTTTGTTCTCTTTATCAGAGTAGTTACAAGTTGTTCAAAGTATAAATGCCTGAGTACTGACTTACGAAACAATGGTGAGCTCTTCTAGAGGGAAAGGGGGGTCTTGATGGAAGTTGTCTGGCATATTAATGTGCCTCCACGTATTAGTAAAAATGCAAATTGTGCAAGTCTGCTGTTGAATTGGAAACATGGCATCATTGACCCTAAATAAAAGGACTGATATTTCCACTTTTATTGTAAATTAAATCGTCTAATTTTTAAAAATTTGCTTAGATGTTTTTCATGTTAAATAACTTTAAAAAATAAAAACTGGAAGCACGAGAGAGAGAGAGAGAGAGAGAGAGAGAGAGAGAGCGAGCAAGAGAAGAAAGGTCACAGCTTTAAAGCTCTCCTGATCCCTTACTCATGAGATCTACACACTGGTCTCAGTGACGATCAAATGAGGGGAAAATTGAAGCTGACTTGGATTCTCTTGTGACATACATGTTGGTTTCAAATATGCACTTTAAAAAATACATAGCCGTAAACATCTACTAATACTGGGATGTGGATCATGTGAAGTATGACTCTTAGAAAATTGTAAATAATCAAAAAAATTGAATGCGCAAATATTGATATGCTAAGCATTCGTGAGTTGAAATGGACTGATTAGCCATTTCAAATGAGAAAACAATAAATGTGCATGGTTTACCATGCTGAGAATGACAAATTCTAAAGGAATGGTGTTGCATTTCTCATCGAGGGAAGGGGAAAAAAAGGCAAACTGTCTTTAAATAAAATGCTGCTTGTGATAGAATATCTATGCACCTACATGAAAGACCAGATAATATAGCGACTATAATTCTATTTTATACCCCAACCTCTAGCTTCAGTATGAAATTGATCAAACATACATTCAAAGTGCATTGATCATTGTTGGTGGGAATGCCAAAGTTGAAAACAAAGAGGAAGTATCAGTAGTTAGAAAATATGACCTCAGTGATAGAAATGAAGGTAGAAATAACATGGCAGAATTTGGGAAAACCAGTACCTTCTTCATTGTAGGTAACTTTTTCAACCAGAGAAAAGTGACATAGGAATCAAATGGACTACATTTGTATGAAAGGCTCAATATCATCATCCAGGAGCTGACTGGGGGACAGACCATCAATGGTGCAGGTGTATGTCTAGGTTGAAGCTGAATAAAACAAAAATTCACAAGAGCCAAATGCAACCTTGAGTATATCCCACATTAATTTACAAACCATTTAATAACAGATTTGAGACTTTGAATACTAATAACTAAATACCAGACAAATTTTGGGTTGACATCATCATCATACATTAGTAAAGTAAAATGTTATCAAAGAGACAGTAAATAAAGAAAAGACCACAGTGGATGCAAGATGAGTCTTTTGAAACTTGCTCATGAATGTTGAGTTGCTAAAGCAAATGGAAAAAATAATGATGTAAAAGAGCTGAATGGAAAAAAATTAGCAGCAGCTCAAGAAGACAAAGTAAAGAATTATAATGAAATGTGCAAAGACTTGGAGCCGGAAAATCAAAAGGGGAGAACATATTCAACCTACGTGAAGCTGAGAGAGCTGAAGAAAACATTCACACTGAGAGTTGCAAGACTGAAGGCTTCTGAAGGTAGAATACGAAATCGTGCAGGAAGCATCAAAAGAAGATGGAAGGAGTGCCAGAGTCATGGTACCCAAAAGAGCCGTTCAGTATTCCAAAAGGGACTACATAACCCGGAGCCTGATAGTGTTAGAGGAAAGGTCCAAACTGCACTGACGGCATTACCCAAATCGAAGCTCCCAGAATTGATGGAATACAAGTTGAAATGTTTCCACAATCTGATGGATCACTGGAAGCACCCAGTGGTCTATGCCAAGAAGTTTGGAAGACAGCTCTGTGACCAACATACTGAAACAGAGCCATATCGGTGTCCATTCCAAAGAAAGGTGACCCAAAAGAATGTGCAAAGTATATAATATTATTAATATCATGTGAGTAAATTTTTCTGAAGGTAATTCAGAAATGTTGACAAGAGAACTCCCAGGAATTCAAGCCAGGTTCAGAAGAGGATGTGGAAAAAGGAGTATCATTGCTGATGTCAGCTGAATCTTGGCTGAAAGGAGAGAATAACCAATAGGTATTTACATGTGTTTTATTGACCATGCAAAGGTATTCAGTGGTGTGGATCATAACGAACTGTGTATAACATTGTTAAGAATGGAAATTTTCAAATACTTCACTGTATTCACGCAGAACCTG